CTTTCCAGCACTGACAGAGCACTTTGTGAAGAGGGTGCAGTAGGGAACACTTGCACTGTTTCAGCAGGTCTGGAGGAATCCCGTCGCTGCCGGGGGCTTTTCTTGAGGCCAGTTTATCAACAGCCTTGCTGAGCTCTTCTGCTGTTGGCTCTGCATCAAGTTCTTCCATGGTTGGCAGGCATTCAATGGCATCTAATGCTGCGAAGGTCACCATGTTCCGTCTGGAGTAGAGGTCGGAGTAGTGTTCCACCCATCTCCCCAACTGTTGTTGCTTGTCGGAGATTATTTCTCTAGTAGATGACTTGAGGGGTGCTGTTTTGCTCTGGGTAGGGCCCAGCGCTTTCTTGATGCCGTCGTACATGCCTCTTGTGTTCCCTGATATGGCTGCTTTCTGGATGGTCTATTGAACACAAAATAGGTTTCTTCAAGGATTAGCAGTGCAGGGTAGTCTCAGTGACCTAAACCCATTTCAGCTTTAAGAGACAAAATGGGCCAATCTCCCAACCCTTACTCAAAGGTTATAGTGACGAGGAGTCCTGTGGCACCTTATAGACTACCAGATTTATTGGTCTATAAGGTTCCACAAGACTCCTAGTCGCTTTTGCAGATCCAGACTAACACGGCTACCCCTCTGATACTCAAAAGTTATAGTTGTAGGTCTTCCCTCTTCTCCACAACCCAGAGGATAATTATGTCAGCTCTCTCAGAATTGCATACTGAGTCACAGGAGTGACTAAAGCATCAGTGGAAAGGGCCAAATTCTATTTTAATTATGTTTCATGGGCTGCAACACTAATTTAGGACTCGATATCCTCCCCCATCCCCAAGCTATAGCACAACTCCCACAGATATCAAGGAGGGGATTTGCAGAAAGATCAAGAGTAGAATCCGATTTTTATGTAATTATAGCAATGCACAAGCAAAATAGGGAGCTATGGCTCCCAAGAGCTTACAGGAGACAAAGTAGGCACAAGCAAGATGGGACACATTGAAAAACAGGAAGGCTTTTTTGTGTTACTACAATTAACAGACGTTCCAGTCTCTGATATTCAGTCCGCAGTGCCAGTAACCAGGACATGGGCAATCTTTCCCAGGGGTTGGAGCAGAAGTACGTAGCCAGAGGTTGGAACTGAAGGTCAGGTCTGAGTTACCTGGAATGAGGCAAAGCAAGTGTAGGATAGGGCAAAGGCAAGAACAGGGGTAGGAACAAGCAGACTGAAGAGCTCTCACAACGGTGGGTGAATGCTTTGAGGAATCAGTGAACTGTTGCAGGCTTAAAAACTGGTCTGCTGACTCTTCCAGCCAATCAAGCAGACTATTACAAACCAACTGTGCTCATTAACCCAGAGACTGACTCTGGTGTAGGCCCAGCTTCCTGACTGGTTTTATTGCTAGCCGATTACTGACAGTCTCTCAAGAACATCAGCAATACTGTCTGTGTGTTTTAGTGGAACATTTTGTGCTGTAGATGCTTGTCCCCTGGGTACTGAGCTGAGATTATCAAACTTGTTTCACATAGTCCACCAACCAGTAACAAATTTTTGTCACCACTGACTTAAAATGGATTTTAACTAGAAAGCTAGAGTTAAAAAGGCTTTACATACCATTATCACTCCAAGAACCACGCAATCCTCTGTTGATTGAACAGTGTATTTCTAAAAAGTAAGAGCCTGAAGAAAAATCCACAGCTTCTAGCGTTGACATCCCTTGTGAAGTTACAACGGTGATGGGAATTTAAGAAAAAAGTCTACAGTAAATCAAGCAAAAAGGTCAGTAGTTGGGAAAACCTGGAGATTTTTGAAAGTTAGCATGAATGCTACCAACTGGGAGTGGTCCTCCTGGCAGGATTTATCTTTATATGCCTGAACAGTTTTGTGATTTGGTTTAAAAAGTAAATAAAAGAATGGTAAAGAGAATAAAGGGAAAAAACTTTTTGGAAAAATTGTAGTTTCTCCCCTATATTCATCTCTGACCACCTGATCCTGCAAATACTTACACTTAATATCCAGTGTGATTAGTCGCATGTGAGATGTTAAATTTATGGCCAATCTTGCGGCGAGCTGTATAACATGAAGCCCTCTGCATCGTTCAAAACTCTACTTCATGTGTTTACTTGCTTGTTAAAAATTAGAGCAAAAATCTTTACTCTTAGCCCAGAAAAGGTGGGGATTTTCATTTTTCAAGGTCTCTCATAGGTTTCTGTATTTATCTATTGGTATGAATGATGAGGGATTTATGATATCCAGTGTTAATGCAAATTAAATACTCACTTTATTTCCTCCCACTGTCCCCACAAAAAGACAAAGCAAAAACTAAAACCCACTGGGGACATTCCTAGATACTCAAGGAGCTGACTGAGGAGATATCTGAACCATTCATTATCTATCATCTTTGAAAGGTCATGGAAGATGGGAGAGAGTCCAGAAGACTAGAAAAGGGCAAATATAGTGCCTATGTATAAAAAAGGAAATAAGAACTGTGTAGATGATTAGTTTTTTTTATGTACAGCAGTTGAGAGAAGTCACTCTTCATCTTTTGAAAGATTATAATCCTGAATTTGTCTATTTATGAAATACTACTGTAAAGAAACCATTTAAGGTAGACAATCATAAATCTCATACAGGCAGTGGGATTAGGTTTTTTTGCTTTCTGAGCACCTGAAATGTTAATTAGGTACAGGTTGGACCTCCCTGGTCCAGCAGCCTCAGGACCTGACTAGTTCCAGATGAGGGATTTTTCCAAACCAGGGGTGGTCATTTCAGGCCCCCTTCTGCTTCCTGGCTCCCCTCGCAGCCCAGCTGAGCTGTGCACCAGCTCCCAGGCCCTCCCTAGCTCAGTTGAGCCATGTGCTGGCTCCCTGCCCCCCCCCCTGCAGCCCAGATGAGCCACGCATCAGCTCCTGTCTCCCCTCACAGCCCAGATGAGCTACATGCCAGCTCTCCCTCCCCCCCCCGTCCAAATGAGCCACATGCCAGCTCCCACCGCCTAACTGAGCTGCATGCCAGCTCCTGGGTCTCCACCCCCTTGTAGCGCATAGGGACTCTCTGATCCTGGAACATCTATGGTTACGTTGGATCATAGATGTTGCCAGACCAAAGAATCCCAGATTTTAGAGGTGCAACCTGTACCTTAATCTGAATGGGTCAGACACAGGAGAGCAATATTCCTATAACAGAATCGGGTGTTTTAACCTTTGTTCTCTCCACACAGTGCTCCGTGTGATATAAAAGTGCTATTAAGTATGTCAGGGTGGGCTGGATGTCACTCAAAAGGGAGAAAGGTAAGTTAGTGTGATTGGGCTGATGTGTATTGTAACTCTGTTTCCCAGTACAGGGATTTAAGTTCTTGTTACCTCAACTGTGTTGTTTCCTGATTTTCAGATGTCTAAGGTCAAGTCTACACTACAAGGACAGGTCAATCTAAACTAAGCAGTTTGAGTAATGTTAGTAACACAACTCAACTCAATGTAGCTCAGACCTATTTACTGTGGGGTCAACACTGCAAGGGATCAACAGAAAAGCGTAACAGTTACGTTAGTAGGTCTTTACTAGATTTCCTAAATTGACTGCTGGTGGATCGACTGCTGAAAGGTGGATCCACCCCATAGTGAGACGAGCCCATAGTATCAAAGAACTTGACATTATGGAAAAACACAAGTTAGCAACAGGTAACATTAACTCTGCATTAAATAAAGTTTTTGGAAGATCTAACCCATCTGCTAGCATTACTATACAGTGATTCTCACTGTAACATTTAATGTTGCTTCCAAATGGAAGGAAATAAGAGGAAAGATATAGTGAGTGCTAGTCAACAAAGAAAGGGGTAAATACATATAAACTGGCAGCTCAACTTCAGGACAACAGATTTTAAAATAATGAGGAAATGTTAGAATTAGCTAAGGGGAAAATAACATAAATTAAAAACCTAAAGTAATAGAATGAAGGCTTCTCACTAATATCCTGTTAATTACAGAAGGCATGCATTCACCAAAATAAGAGTGTTAAAAGGATTAGAGGCAAGAAAAAAAGCTAGTGTGGTAAGGTAACTAGGCTTACTCCGTTCAAAACAAATACCTATTAAAAGGTAATGCAGCCAAAGTGATGATGACTGAACAGAACAAACTTTGTATGCAGTGTTGGGATAGCCACGCTGGTCAGGATATTAGTGCCCACCTGAGCTAGCCATGTAATGTCACAATGACTACAAATTCTCAAGTGTAGAGACTGTTTATAAAAAATTCAGAAGATCCTAGAAATTCAGAGAAAAAAAATCATTAAAGCTTTTGAAAACTGGTAAGAATTAAACCAATGATCCACGAAGCCAGATCTCCCGGGTCTCTTCACGTACTCCGTACTTTTCAGAAGATAACAGATGGATCCAATTTACAGCTCCTCAAACTGAAGTTCAGATT